ACTCTGTCACTTTCTTAGTTACTCCGTCACTTTCTTAATTACTCTGTCACTTTCTAAATAACTCTGTCACTTTCATAATTACTCTGTCACTTTTTAAATTACTCTGTCACTTTCAAAATTACTCTGTCACTTTCTAAATTACTCTGTCACTTTCTAAATTACTCTGTCACTTTATTAATTACTCTGTCACTTTCTAAATTACTCTGTCACTTTCTTAATTACTCTGTCACTTTTTAAATTACTCTGTCACGTTCTAAATTAGTCTGTCACTTTCTAAATTACTCTGTCACTTTCTTAGTTACTCCGTCACTTTCTTAATTGCTCTGTCACTTTCTAAATTACTCTGTCACTTTCTAAATTAATCTGTGACTTTCTAAATTACTCTCACTTTCTAAATTACTCTGTCACTTTCTAAATTACTGTCACTTTTAAAATTACTCTGTCACTTTCTAAGTTACTCTGTCACTTTCTAAATTACTCTGTCACTTTGTAAATTTCTGTCACTTTCTAAATTACTCTGTCACTTTCTAAATTTCTCTGTCACTTTCTAAATTATCCTGTCACTTTCTTAATTACTCTGTCACTTTCTTAATTACTCTGTCACTTTCTAAATTACTCTGTCACTTTCTAAATTACTCTGTCACTTTATTAATTACTCTGTCACTTTCTAAATTACTCTGTCACTTTCTTAATTATTCTGTCACTTTTTAAATTACTCTGTCACTTTCTAAATTACTCTGTCACTTTCTAAATTAGTCTGTCACTTTATTAATTACTCTGTTACTTTCTAAATTACTCTGTCACTTTCTTAATTATTCTGTCACTTTTTAAATTACTCTGTCACTTTCTAAATTACTCTGGCACTTTCTAAATTACTCTGTCACTTTCTTAATTACTCTGTCACTTTCTAAATTACTCTGTCACTTTCTAAATTACTCTCTCACTTTATTAATTACTCTGTCACTTTCTAAATTACTCTCTCACTTTCTTAATTACTCTGTCACTTTTTAAATTACTGTCACTTTCTAAATTACTCTGTCACTTTCTAAATTACTCTGTCACTTTCTTAGTTACTCCGTCACTTTCTTAATTACTCTGTCACTTTCTAAATAACTCTGTCACTTTCTTAATTACTCTGTCACTTTTTAAATTACTCTGTCACTTTCTAAATTACTCTGTCACTTTCTAAATTACTCTGTCACTTTCTAAATTACTCTGTCACTTTATTAATTACTCTGTCACTTTCTAAATTACTCTGTCACTTTCTTAATTACTCTGTCACTTTTTAAATTACTCTGTCACTTTCTTAATTACTCCGTCACTTTCTTAATTACTCTGTCACTTTCTAAATTACTTTGTCACTTTCTAAATTACTCTGTTACTTTCTCAATTACTGTCACTTTCTTAATTACTCTGTCACTTTGTAAATTACTGTCACTTTTTAAATTACTCTGTCACTTTCTAAATTACTCTGTCACTTTCTAAATTACTCTGTCACTTTCTATATTACTCTTTCACTTTCTAAATTACTCTGTCACTTTCTAAATTACTGTCACTTTCTAAATTACTCTGTCACTTTCTAAATTACTCTGTCACTTTCTTAATTACTCTGTCACTTTCTTAATTACTCTGTCACTTTCTAAATTACTCTGTCACTTTCTAAATTACTCTGTCACTTTATTAATTACTCTGTCACTTTCTAAATTACTCTGTCACTTTCTTAATTACTCTGTCACTTTTTAAATTACTCTGTCACTTTCTAAATTACTCTGTCACTTTCTAAATTAGTCTGTCACTTTATTAATTACTCTGTCACTTTCTAAATTACTCTGTCACTTTCTTAGTTATTCTGTCACTTTTTAAATTACTCTGTCACTTTCTAAATTACTCTGTCACTTTCTAAATTACTCTGTCACTTTCTTAATTACTCTGTCACTTTCTAAATTACTCTGTCACTTTTTAAATTACTCTGTCACTTTATTAATTACTCTGTCACTTTCTAAATTACTCTGTCACTTTATTAATTACTCTGTCACTTTCTAAATTACTCTGTCACTTTCTTAATTACTCTGTCACTTTTTAAATTACTCTGTCACTTTCTAAATTACTCTGTCACTTTCTAAATTAGTCTGTCACTTTATTAATTACTCTGTCACTTTCTAAATTACTCTGTCGCTTTCTTAATTATTCTGTCACTTTTTAAATTACTCTGTCACTTTCTAAATTACTCTGTCACTTTCTAAATTACTCTGTCACTTTCTTAATTACTCTGTCACTTTCTAAATTACTCTGTCACTTTTTAAATTACTCTGTCACTTTATTAATTACTCTGTCACTTTCTAAATTACTCTGTCACTTTCTTAGTTACTCCGTCACTTTCTTAATTACTCTGTCACTTTCTAAATAACTCTGTCACTTTCTTAATTACTCTGTCACTTTTTAAATTACTCTGTCACTTTCTAAATTACTCTGTCACTTTCTAAATTACTCTGTCACTTTCTAAATTACTCTGTCACTTTATTAATTACTCTGTCACTTTCTTAGTTACTCCGTCACTTTCTTAATTGCTCTGTCACTTTCTAAATTACTCTGTCACTTTCTAAATTAATCTGTGACTTTCTAAATTACTGTCACTTTCTAAATTACTCTGTCACTTTCTAAATTACTGTCACTTTTAAAATTACTCTGTCACTTTCTAAGTTACTCTGTCACTTTCTAAATTACTCTGTCACTTTGTAAATTTCTGTCACTTTCTAAATTACTCCGTCACTTTCTAAATTACTCTGTCACTTTCTAAATTACTCTGTCACTTTCTAATTTACTGTCACTTTCTAAATTACTGTCACTTTCTAAATTACTCTGTCACTTTCTAAATTACTGTCACTTTCTAAATTACTGTCACTTTCTAAATTACTGTCACTTTCTAAATTACTGTCACTTTCTAAATTACTCTGTCACTTTCTAAATTACTGTCACTTTCTAAATTACTGTCACTTTCTAAATTACTCTGTCACTTTCTAAATTACTATCACTTTCTAAATTACTCTGTCACTTTCTAAATTACTGTCACTTTCTAAATTACTGTCACTTTCTAAATTACTCTGTTACTTTCTAAATTACTGTCACTTTCTAAATTACTGTCACTTTCTAAATTACTCTGTCACTTTCTAAATTACTCTGTCACTTTCTTAATTACTCTGTCACTTTCTTAATTACTCTGTCACTTTCTAAATTACTCTGTCACTTTCTAAATTACTCTGTCACTTTATTAATTACTCTGTCACTTTCTAAATTACTCTGTCACTTTCTTAATTACTCTGTCACTTTTTAAATTACTCTGTCACTTTCTAAATTACTCTGTCACTTTCTAAATTAGTCTGTCACTTTATTAATTACTCTGTCACTTTCTAAATTACTCTGTCACTTTCTTAGTTATTCTGTCACTTTTTAAATTACTCTGTCACTTTCTAAATTACTCTGTCACTTTCTAAATTACTCTGTCACTTTCTTAATTACTCTGTCACTTTCTAAATTACTCTGTCACTTTTTAAATTACTCTGTCACTTTATTAATTACTCTGTCACTTTCTAAATTACTCTCTCACTTTATTAATTACTCTGTCACTTTCTAAATTACTCTGTCACTTTCTTAATTACTCTGTCACTTTTAAATTACTCTGTCTACTTTCTAAATTACTCTGTCACTTTCTAAATTAGTCTGTCACTTTATTAATTACTCTGTCACTTTCTAAATTACTCTGTCGCTTTCTTAATTATTCTGTCACTTTTTAAATTACTCTGTCACTTTCTAAATTACTCTGTCACTTTCTAAATTACTCTGTCACTTTCTTAATTACTCTGTCACTTTCTAAATTACTCTGTCACTTTTTAAATTACTCTGTCACTTTATTAATTACTCTGTCACTTTCTAAATTACTCTGTCACTTTCTTAATTACTCTGTCACTTTCTAAATTACTCTGTCACTTTCTAAATTACTCTGTCACTTTCTTAGTTACTCCGTCACTTTCTTAATTACTCTGTCACTTTCTAAATAACTCTGTCACTTTCTTAATTACTCTGTCACTTTTTAAATTACTCTGTCACTTTCTAAATTACTCTGTCACTTTCTAAATTACTCTGTCACTTTCTAAATTACTCTGTCACTTTATTAATTACTCTGTCACTTTCTTAGTTACTCCGTCACTTTCTTAATTGCTCTGTCACTTTCTAAATTACTCTGTCACTTTCTAAATTAATCTGTGACTTTCTAAATTACTGTCACTTTCTAAATTACTCTGTCACTTTCTAAATTACTGTCACTTTTAAAATTACTCTGTCACTTTCTAAGTTACTCTGTCACTTTCTAAATTACTCTGTCACTTTGTAAATTTCTGTCACTTTCTAAATTACTCTGTCACTTTCTAAATTACTCTGTCACTTTCTAAATTACTCTGTCACTTTCTAATTTACTGTCACTTTCTAAATTACTGTCACTTTCTAAATTACTCTGTCACTTTCTAAATTACTGTCACTTTCTAAATTACTGTCACTTTCTAAATTACTGTCACTTTCTAAATTACTGTCACTTTCTAAATTACTCTGTCACTTTCTAAATTACTGTCACTTTCTAAATTACTGTCACTTTCTAAATTACTCTGTCACTTTCTAAATTACTATCACTTTCTAAATTACTCTGTCACTTTCTAAATTACTGTCACTTTCTAAATTACTGTCACTTTCTAAATTACTCTGTTACTTTCTAAATTACTGTCACTTTCTAAATTACTGTCACTTTCTAAATTACTGTCACTTTCTAAATTACTCTGTCACTTTCTAAATTACTCTGTCACTTTCTACATAACTTTGAATCTTTCTAAAGAGCTTTAAAAATTTCTGAGTTTATTGTATGTTATATAAATTATTTTGACATTATTTTAATTTCTTTTTCACTTCCTGAGTTACATTTTTTCTTTGCATATAAATAACTTTGAGTTGTTCAGAGAGAGGCCGGGCTGGCTGGTACAGTTGTGGTGGTTAACATGGAGGTCACTCGTCGACTCCTACAGGAATCCTGCCATACATTCCATTAGGATTCTGCAGAAAATTGTGAGTACCAGAAGCGTGCATTTATTGACGTATTATACGTGTTTAAAGTGTGTTTGCTAGATCCAAAACAGCCTGAGTTTCCTTAAGTATTATATATACTTTATATTCATGTTTGTGAGATCCAAAGAACGTGCGTTTTCTGACGTATTATATGCATTATAGGCGTGATTATGAATGTCAAAGAACGTGTATTTTCTGACGTATTACAAACCTGAGTGTGACGTGGCGGAGTTCCTACAAAATCTTGTCATCGCAGCTGACCACCAGAGAGAAAGTTGTGAGACGAATTGTGATGAAGGTTGAAAAGTCTCTAGGAAGTGCCACATTAAACTCGGATTACTGTTGTTATAGTTAGAGGAGAAACGCATTAATTAGGAGCATAAGCAGTAAAACGCACAGTTCCATGACTGAAACAGTACATATTTAACCTACACATTGAAGACTCAAACTTATGACTATGTTTCGGTTCGACTTGGACTTAACTAGTCATTAGTAAATGGCTCGAGTCGCACCGAAACGTCGTCATAAGTCTTTGTATGTGGTGGAAAATTAGACAAACATGCAACTCAGTACGATCCTTTATTGACTACCTGGACTTAGTCAAGCTAGAAAGAGATGTACCTGAACAAACAGTATATGAGTATATATAGAGAGTACATGAGTATGCATAGAGAACATAAGAACATAAGAACATAAGAACGAAGGAACACTGCAGCAGGCCTACTGTCCCATGCGAGGCAGGTCCAAGTCTCCTACCGGCTTAAGGCAATGCACCCAACCTAGTCAGGTCAGGTCACATTGACTTAAGGGAGGAACACGGCAACCGACCTGGTAGCACAAGCTAATCAGGTCCAACTCACACCCACCCACATCTACTCATGTATTTATCCAACCTATTTTTAAAGCTACACAACGTTCTGGCCTCTATAACTGTACATGGGAGTTTGTTCCACCCATCCACAACTCTATTACCAAACCAGTACTTTCCTATATCCTTCCTGAATCTGAATTTTTCCAACTTAAAACCATTGCTGCGAGTCCTGTCTAGGCTAGGTATTTTCAGCACACTATTTACATCCCCTTTATTTATTCCTGTCTTCCATTTATACACCTCAATCATATCCCCCCTAATTCTACGTCTTTCTAGAGAGTGCAGATCCTCACTATCCCTCTCATGGTCTACGTCATGTCTTCTTCACTACCCCTCTCATGGTCTGCATCATGTCTTCCTCACTACCCCTCTCATGGTCTACATCATGTCTTCTTCACTACCCCTCTCATGGTCTACATCATGTCTTCCTCACTACCCCTCTCATGGTCTACATCATGTCTTCTTCACTACCCCTCTCATGGTCTACATCATGTCTTCCTCACTACCCCTCTCATGGTCTGCATCATGTCTTCCTCACTACCCTTCTCATGGTCTGCATCATGTCTTCCTCACTACCCCTCTCATGGTCTACATGGAAATAAATGGTATAAAATACCGACACAATGGAAATATAAACACAAATGCAGTATAATGTGATCCTTTATTGACAACGTTTCACCCACGCAGTGGGCTTTTTCAAGTCACAAAACGGATCTACCTGGGGTTGGAAGGTACGGGAGTATTTATAAATACTCCCGTACCTTCCAACCCCAGGTAGATCCGTGTGTGACTTGAAAAAGCCCACTGCGTGGGTGAAACGTTGTCAATAAAGGATCACATTATACTGCATTTGTGTTTATATTTCCATGGTCTACATCATGTCTTCCTCACTACCCCTCTCATGGTCTGCATCATGTCTTCCTCACTATCCCTCTCATGGTCTACATCATGTCTTCCTCACTACCCCTCTCATGGTCTGCATCATGTCTTCCTCACTACCCCTCTCATGGTCTACATCTTGTCTTCTTCACTACCCCTCTCATGGTCTACATCATGTCTTCTTCACTACCCCTCTCATGGTCTGCATCATGTCTTCTTCACTACCCCTCTCATGGTCTGCATCATGTCTTCTTCACTACCCCTCTAATGGTCTACATAATGTCTTCTTCACTATCCCTCTCATGGTCTACATCATGTCTTCCTCACTACCCCTCTCATGGTCTGCATCATGTCTTCCTCACTACCCCTCTCATGGTCTACATTCTTGTTTCTTCACTACCCCTCTCATGGTCTACATCATGTCTTCTTCACTACCCCTCTCATGGTCTGCATCATGTCTTCTTCACTACCCCTCTCATGGTCTGCATCATGTCTTCTTCACTACCCCTCTAATGGTCTACATCATGTCTTCTTCACTACCCCTCTCATGGTCTACATCATGTCTTCCTCACTACCCCTCTCATTGTCTACATCATGTCTTTCTCACTACCCCTCTCATGGTCTACATCATGTCTTCCTCACTACCCCTCTCATGGTCTACATCATGTCTTTCTCACTACCCCTCTCATGGTCTACATCTTGTCTTCTTCACTACCCCTCTCATGGTCTGCATCATGTCTTCTTCACTACCCCTCTCATGGTCTACATCATGTCTTCTTCACTACCCCTCTCATGGTCTACATCATGTCTTCTGTCATTACCCCTCTCATGGTCTACATCATGTCTTCTTCACTACCCCTCTCATGGTCTACATCATGTCTTCTTCACTACCCCTCTCATGGTCTACATCATGTCTTCTTCACTACCCCTCTCATGGTCTACATCATGTCTTCTTCACTACCCTCTCATGGTCTACATCATGTCTTCTTCACTACCCCCCTCATGGTCTACATCATGTCTTCTTCACTACCCCTCTCATGGTCTACATCATGTCTTCTTCACTACCCCTCTCATGGTCTACATCATGTCTTCTGTCATTACCCCTCTCATGGTCTACATCATGTCTTCTTCACTACCCCTCTCATGGTCTACATCATGTCTTCTTCACTACCCCTCTCATGGTCTACATCATGTCTTCCTCACTACCCCTCTCATGGTCTGCATCATGTCTTCTTCACTACCCCTCTCATGGTCTACATCATGTCTTCTTCACTACCCCTCTCATGGTCTACATCATGTCTTCCTCACTACCCCTCTCATGGTCTGCATCATGTCTTCTTCACTACCCCTCTCATGGTCTACATCATGTCTTCTTCACTACCCCTCTCATGGTCTACATCATGTCTTCCTCACTACCCCTCTCATGGTCTGCATCATGTCTTCTTCACTACCCCTCTCATGGTCTACATCATGTCTTCTTCACTACCCCTCTCATGGTCTACATCATGTCTTCTTCACTACCCCTCTCATGGTCTACATCATGTCTTCTGTCATTACCCATCTCATGGTCTACATCATGTCTTCCTCACTACCCCTCTCATGGTCTACATCATGTCTTCTTCACTACCCCTCTCATGGTCTACATCACGTCTTCTTCACTACCCCTCTCATGGTCTACATCATGTCTTCTTCACTACCCCTCTCATGGTCTACATCATGTCTTCCTCACTACCCCTCTCATGGTCTACATCATGTCTTCTTCACTACCCCTCTCATGGTCTACATCATGTCTTCCTCACTATCCCTCTCATTGTCTACATCATGTCTTCTATCATTACCCCTCTCATGGTCTACATCATGTCTTCCTCACTACCCCTCTCATGGTCTACATCATGTCTTCTTCACTACCCCTCTCATGGTCTACATCATGTCTTCTTCACTACCCCTCTCATGGTCTACATCATGTCTCCTCACTATCCCTCTCATGGTCTACATCATGTCTTCTTCACTACCCCTCTCATGGTCTACATCATGTCTTCCTCACTACCCCTCTCATGGTCTGCATCATGTCTTCCTCACTATCCCTCTCATGGTCTACATCATGTCTTCTTCACTACCCCTCTCATGGTCTACATCATGTCTTCCTCACTACCCCTCTCATGGTCTACATCATGTCTTCTTCACTACCCCTCTCATGGTCTGCATCATGTCTTCCTCACTACCCCTCTCATGGTCTACATCATGTCTTCCTCACTACCCCTCTCATGGTCTACATCATGTCTTCCTCACTACCCCTCTCATGGTCTACATCATGTCTTCCTCACTACCCCTCTCATGGTCTACATCATGTCTTCCTCACACCCTCTCATGGTCTACATCATGTCTTCCTCACTACCCCTTTCATGGTCTACATCATGTCTTCCTCACTACCCCTCTCATGGTCTGCATCATGTCTTCCTCACTACCCCTCTCATGGTCTACATCATGTCTTCTTCACTACCCCTCTCATGGTCTGCATCATGTCTTCCTCACTACCCCTCTCATGGTCTACATCATGTCTTCTTCACTACCCCTCTCATGGTCTACATCATGTCTTCCTCACTATCCCTCTCATGGTCTACATCATGTCTTCTTCACTACCCCTCTCATGGTCTACATCATGTCTTCCTCACTACCCCTCTCATGGTCTGCATCATGTCTTCCTCACTATCCCTCTCATGGTCTACATCATGTCTTCTTCACTACCCCTCTCATGGTCTACATCATGTCTTCCTCACTACCCCTCTCATGGTCTACATCATGTCTTCCTCACTACCCCTCTCATGGTCTACATCATGTCTTCCTCACTACCCCTCTCATGGTCTACATCATGTCTTCTTCACTACCCTTCTCATGGTCTACATCATGTCTTCTTCACTACCCCTCTCATGGTCTACATCATGTCTTCCTCACTATCCCTCTCATGGTCTACATCATGTCTTCCTCGCTATCCCTCTCATGGTCTACATCATGTCTTCCTCACTATCCCTCTCATGGTCTACATCATGTCTTCCTCACTATCCCTCTCATGGTCTACATCATGTCTTCCTCACTATCCCTCTCATGGTCTACATCATGTCTTCCTCACTACCCCTCTCATGGTCTACATCATGTCTTCTTCACTACCCCTTTTCATGGTCTACATCATGTCTTCTTCACTACCCCTCTCATGGTCTACATCATGTCTTCCTCACTATCCTCTCATGGTCTA